AGGATGAATATAAAGGGTGAAACAAACACTGGTACTGATGCTGTCTAGGTCCTGAGAATGAAGAATCCTTTCTCTGCTCTTATGAATTGAGAAAGAGTTATTAAAGCCCAAGTTTGATTTTGACACTGCTGCTAAAAATTATCACACCTAACTGAAGGTCCAAGTCCTAATTGTGGCATTGCAGTCTYTAAATTGCAGTCAAGAAAATTATGAAGACAAATCATGTTGGCATAAAATATATCAGGATTTACTGATCCATGCTGCAGTCCTTTGAAGTAAGTGTAGAGTTATGATAGCAGAATAAACTGAAAGAAACAAAATAAATTCAGCAGGGAGTGTATTTTATAGTTAATGCTGCTGCAAAATACAATATGCTTTCYGGGACTGAATATCTCTAAAAAGTTTGTTTCAACAACTCAGTAGTGTTCACATCTTTCTTAACATTTTTTGCTGCTTTTTAAACTGACATGTGTGCACACTTTAGAAGATGAGATGTTGCCCAAAGCCTCAAATGACACAGAATGTTCCAGGGACTGTATGACTACAAAGCCACCCAGTATGCTCCTTGGTCACCACAAGGTTTTACTCCACATGGGTGACTAAGAAACAATCTAGACTTGTCCAGTTTCTTTATGTCTGCATCTTCTATTCCTCTGTTTCCTAACTGCATTACTGTGAGGTGGAAAAGAGTCTGTCCCACTATGCATATTTGTACCAAACTCATGGTTCAAGTCTAGGAAAGAGCAGGTACCAAGCACCTGGAACCATGAACTGTGTAGCCAATGACCACCGATTCCTCTGGCTGCAAGAATGTATAAATAATGAAAGTTTTAAACGACCTTGGGGCCCCCATAATAAAAAAAAAAACAAAACAAAAAACTCCAGGGTAAAGTAGGACAGGACACTAYTGGATCCACAGATGGTGTTTATTTTCTGCCTAACCTGTCTTTTCTCTCTCCCTCTGTCTCTCTCCCCTCTCTTTTCTATTCCATTTGATCCTTCTACCTCATGTTTTACTGTTAAATAAAATCTGTATTATTGACTTCAGCATATAGTCTTGTTTGCAYCTTAATTTGGGTAGAGACATCTCTMAATAATTGAATCTCAACAGCACTGGACCTCTTATTTTTGTGTTACTAGTTTGCATCCTTCCCTGATTTTTTATGTGGWGACAGCRGYAATGAACTGAAAAGGGAGAGGGCAWACATTCGAGTCACTCGACATGACTACCCACACCATTAAAATGTGAGCTTTTTTTCTGACATGGGAAAAAACTGCAAGGCCTTGGGCAGTGCCCAGGCATGGTCAGGGGTTAGCACCAGCCACAGGTGCAGCAACAGGCACTTTGTTCTTTGGGGACCTAAGACTGTTGCTGAAAGGACACGAGGTGTGCTGCACCAGTCAACCTCCAGGCCAAACAATGGTACTGGGCCCTTTGTAATTACTAACAGAGACATAATTTTATGAGCTATAGGAGGGATTTTAATTGCTCTACCTGTCACCAAACCCAATTATGTATTGGGTCYTCAAAGCCTTACTTTGTGAAATTCTCTGCAACAATATGCAGTAATTTTGCCTTTGGTTGCACCTTTGTTACTCTCATAGAATTACTTGTGTRCCACCATTAAAGGTTAACACTGCTGGAGATTTCATTTGATTTTTCTTCTGAGTAAATTTAAGGGACTTCTCATGTCTTTTTAATAGCTGAATTTTTTAGAGGTGGAAAACAAGCATGAGCTTTTAAACTAGTATTACTTCACAGAAATTGAAAGTTGTGTGAACTGTGAAAGTGAAATTCCCAGATGTTCTCCTTTATATACTTATTATGCATGTATTAAATAGATCAATATTATTTAAAATGTTAAATCAGAGTTTCTGATAAGGATCTTCATTAATTATACTCCTTGATTTATGGAACTGCAATGATAGTYATCATTTTATAGTTGCATGCCAGAAACAAAGGTTGCTATGGTTTTGAGAGAAAGAAATCACTGCATTTTGGAAAATTCTTTCAGACTATTGATAATTGGTATTTTAGATGTGCAGTAGTTYGTGAATCAAGTTTAAATTTCATCTATCACAAATCTGTGTAATCAGAAGTATTAATGCAAGAAACTTGCTTTAAAACAGACATATTACTTTAACAGTATATTGCTACCTAGCTAAAGACACCCTAAGCATCCATTTAAAACAAACATATATCCACGTCCTTTTTGTCTTCCCCCTATCCATGCCCACAATGTTCTTATCATTTATTTCAACCTGCTTCTGAGATCAGAAAATTTCTAACACTTAGTATTTTGTGGCTTTTAGAAATTAATATCCTTACAATACTTAAWATTTATACCCTATCATGTTAATTTTTGCTGAAAAAACAACTTAGAAAACAAAAGAGATAGGAAAGGATTTAACGGCTTGTTCTTACTAAAAGTATGAAGAGCATTGGCAGAAATTTCATAAAACAACATGTCTCAAGTGAAATTAAAATTACAATTTGCAAGCCATTATGTCAAACTCTATAAACAAAATAGTCTGGTTTTCCTGAGAACTTAAACAAACCTGGTCTTTATCACTCCAGTGTTATGTTTATGAGTCTGATGGTCAGTTTTAAACTACTTCTTCATATCTTCCAAGTTTTTAGAGTGTTCAAAAAGATTCTTTGTGAAATTTCTCATCCAGTCTCTCTCCTAAGAATATTAACACTATGCTTTTCATTCTGGTAGGTGATCAAATGCGTCACTCTTGCTTCTGAGAAAAGGAGATATGAAATCCTATAGAAGATACATCCATGTTCTTTGGATATTGATGAAGGCATGAAAATGGTTGTAGAATAAATTTTGAACATTTATGTAGTATTTGGGAACACTAGAGCAAAGGAGACTCCCTTTCATAGGTAGGATACACATCCTATGGAAGTAGCCATACAGGATAGCAATTAAAAAAATACATAAACATAATAATTTCAGCAATGATTCAAGAGGGTGTGAGTGCCCAGGCTTGAGCATGTTAGCATGGGTTTGAATGTTTGAAGTTGAAAATGAAATTGAACATCGCCAAGAACAGGCTGCTTTCCTAAATTACATTTACTCATTCTTAATGTATCATTCTTAATGTGTAATGGTTTATTATTAAGACCATTAATAATAAACATTATTAATGGTCTTACTCTGCTTAATTGTAAAAAAGATTCTAAGGATATAATGTGCCTTCAGAGATTAATAAAGAGTCTTAAATGTAAAAATTTCTCCTCAAAAAAATGTATACTYTGGGCAAATCTAAGTCAACAACACTTTAAACAAGTTAAATCTATGTCTTTTAAAAGCAATYCACATGGATAACATGCAGATAAGAAGCAAATACACTTCATATGATTACAGCCTTTATAATAGTAGTATTCCTTATAATCCTTAAAGTCCATATAATCACAACTAATTGATTCATCTACAATCAAAACTTTAAAGGCAAGTGATACAAATTTGTCCATGAAAGAAATATGGTGGAGTTTTTCACACAGAGATAGGGCATTCAAGTTTCTTTGGGGCTCTTCATTGTTCCCCCACCCCTCAGGACATACATGATTTCCTCCCTCCATTTCTGGACTACAGATTTTTTTTTTTTTTTAAATTATATTGTCCTGTTCTCTCAACTGTTTTTCAGAAATATTCCGGTCACATCATCACAAGATGGAAGAGCCAAGAAGGATGTTACATGCACAATAAGAATGGAAAACAATAGTCCTATAATTAGGAGAAATTTAGGCCTATTTTCATTTTATATAAAATCCAATCATTCTAGATATARAGAAACAAAATAGAAAAATATTTGAAAAAATAGATGAATCATCTAAAAATTTTCGTTACTATATAGGAGATAAGGACCCATAGTTTTTTTGAAAGCAAAATTTCATCAGTCATTCAGAACATATACAGACATTTGCAAAATGCTACACTAATTTTATCTTTCAGAAAGGGAATGAATGTCATTGCTGAACTCATTCTGTCAATAATAGGACTGCAACAGGACTTGAGATTCAGTGTTTTATATAATGCAATTGTATGGCTTAAAAAGTGTTTGGGTACTAAACCAGCTCCTCAGTAGAAACTAAGTTAAAGTAAACTTAATAAACATGGTCTGCAAAAACATGCATCTTCAGGAGCAGGTATTATTCCTTTCATGTAAGACAAGAAAAGTTTTGAATATTTCATTATTTCTTCATTTTCCACTGAAAATTGCATCATCAAATTAATAGAAAATGCAGTGTCTTTTGTGTAATCTTCACCTACGTGAACAAGATGCTGAGCCACTATAAACTCTAACCTCATTGATTTCAATTATTTATTKTACTTTAAATATTTCCTCAGTTTATGTGAAGGGAAGACCATATATGCATAGACAAAGGGCAAGRCCAAAAGTTCCATGTATACAYCCARCAGGCCAGTTGATTCTAGTCAGTAYATTYCAGTYTTAATTACTCTGTCYTCAGTCAACCCATATACAGGCATCTTTTTTATATTTAAACATATATCAAAGATSAGATTACAAATATTTTTCTCACAGTTTTTAGATAATTTAGATAATGATTCTGGAGTRTTACCTGCACAGTTAAATATCTTTCCTTGCAATATAAGAATTGTGTTATGAYCCCAAATATTCTGATTTTCATGTAATCACAGTAGCTTTAATGAAATGACTTTAATGGTTCAACACTTATATTATGAATTTTAGTTCATTTTGTATTAAAATTTAATGCATCGACTTTTGGGGCTGTTGTTTCATGTATGTGATATGTCAAAAATAGGTTGTACCTATACATCATCTTGGAACCATTGATTCTAATCTGCCCTCTCACTAGAAACCACCCAGTAGAAAAGTATAAAAGGTTTCCTAAATTCATAGAGCTTTGAACTTTAGGGACTATTGCTTACTTCTGTCTCAAAGTTACATCGTTAATAAACTAAGTTATCCAACACTTTTTTTTTTTTAAATGGAGGAAAATTTACCTTAATATCAAAGGCTCCTGGCTGACCCACTTTGTTATAAAGCTCCAGCTGATTCTTGACAGGCGTTACCCACAATATCACCTGATTTAGTTGTTGATCAAGTTCAATGAAGTCCTTCAGCAGAAGCTCTATTTCTTTTTGTTTTTCTGGAAGATCTTTGGATACCTGAAAAAAATACCAAAAATATCACAAGCCATTGTTTTGGTGAAAAAAACCACAAACCACAAAACAACCTACAAAACAATTTAACACTAAACATATACACATCAATATAAAATGTTAAAAAACAAGTTTTATATAGTGGAAGAAGATTAAAAATGAGTAGATCCACCAATCACATTATTATGGTCGGTATCTTGCAAATCAATTGAAA